AGATAGAAGGCCGCGGCCCGAACCTCAAGGTTTGTTTCATTCGCTTCGTCACCACATCGCAGCAAAACAACACTTGCATCATTCCCATCAGGCTCACAGCGAACGATGGACATAGAACAACGGGCCCGCACATGGTGATGTCCCCATGCGCAACACGGATTTGCTCAACGTGTTCATCCCAGCTTCCGCGCACAGCATCTCCCTCCAAAGATCTGCACATGCATATCTGCCCTTGCAGTGCGTCAAGGGCAACATTCAGGTTCACTGCATCGGGGTCGCAAGCGCGAGCCCCAAGCAACTCGATGCACGTTGCAGCTCTGTGCACCAGAACACCGCGACAAGCTTTACCTCGCAGTGCCGCCAACGACCTTCGCACAATGAGCTGATCGAGCTCACCAGGGAAGCGCCCAGAATCCCGCAGGGGGGCCAGCTCCCAGTGGCCCAGGACAGCGCCGAACAGCCAACGCTGTCCGTCTTCAAAGCGGACGCCCTCGGCCCCCGAATACTCGCTGGCGAACGGGCCGCCGCGCACGCCGAAGGCGAACCAGAGCCCGTCGGGCCCGCGAAGGATCTCTCGGCCCCGACGCCTCCGCCGGCCCGCCGCTGCAGCCACGCCGTCGCCGCCGACGGCCGCGCCCTCCGCAGGGGCCTCGTCGCCGACGACATCGCCGTCCATTGTTGCGACGCACGCTGAGGAAACACAATTGTGCGAAGCCCGTTTGGGTCAAAACGAGTTTGCGCAGAAATGGTCACGGAGGAGGAAGGAGGAGGAGAAGGAGGAGGCGCGCCCCAAACAGTGAGTGACGCAAGCGGGCATTGTTCGGGGGGAGTTGTGGAAGAACGGGGCGCTGACCCCTTCCCGCGGGCCCGTGCCCCAAGAAACGTCAGGACCCCAACGATGGATTCGGCATCTCACTTGAGACATCCGCGCGCCATGCCACCCGTCATGTCGGGCATTGTCTCAGCTTCGCATATGGTTGGCTGCAACGCTTGCAAATAGAAGGACAACCGCTTGAGACATCCTGACATTGTGACGAGCCGCTCCGACGGAGCCCTCTACGCGTTGACTCGGCCACACGACCTGCAAGCGCAAATGATAAATTCACGCCGACCAGCCCCGATGGGGCGTGGTCATGTGGCTTGTAAGCAGGGACATGCAAACCTGGCGTGACCAACTCGCGATTATGCGGGAACCCATTGTTGGATTTGATTGCGTGTTGCTTTTATTTGTTGGGGGGCGAACGGGGGGCGGACTTCCGCGTCGTTTACCATCGACGGTGAGTTGTTGTGCTTTTTCGTGTTCGCATTGTTCATCGTTGTGTGGCTGTTGTTTGAGATGCGTATTAGTAAGTTTTAAATCTCGTCGTTGCTCTTAGCGCGCAGTGCTAAAATCCTAAGGGATCTTTTTCCTTTTTATGCGACCCCCCCGTCGGTTCACATAACCCCATACCATTGACGGGAAAGCGCCCTTAACCCTTGGAGAATGTCTAGCCACCGGGGCCCCACCTGTTCTCGTCAGGGCCCGGTTGTCCACTCTTCCATGGGTCGCAGCCGTCGCTCCAGGGATCTGGACCCCATCGAGCTCTCCTGCCGGCCGCTCCTGATGCCGCCGTATTTGTCGCCCGCGCCGGCTGCGTTGCTGCCGAGCCCTGGGCTGAGGTTCTTCACGGCGTCCTTCACCGCCTGCTGGATCAGCTGCTTCAGCTGCTCCGTGACCTGTGGGCTCGAGCTCGCAGCGCCTCCGATGGGTGGCGGGGGCGCTGTCCCCTCCCCAGTCCCCTCTGACTGGGCTGAGCGCCCTCCGCCGATGACGGCGCACGTCTCGTTCTTGTCGTCTCCTGGGCCGGTGTCGCCCGGCCCTGGCATCAACGCCTGCCGTGGATCCGCGCTCTGTCCAGCCCGGTGAGAGCAGCGCCCGCGCAGCCGCCCGAGCTGCCCCAGGCACTGCCGCTGATCAGCGGTACCTGGAGGCGCCCATGCACGCCGCGCCGAACACTGCTCCGCTACCAGCTGCGGCAGCAGCAGGATGAACGGATGCAGTTTGGCCTTGAGCCAGAAAGCGGCAACCGCAGCACATCCTTCCCTGAGCTGGCCGGGAAAGAACATCACGCTAAACCTATAACGATAAAACAAGAGAGTCTCCACAACAATCGACGCAGACGCCGCCGCCGTCGTCGCCCCCGCCGTCGTCGCCGCGACGCCCACGCATTCACGTTATTACTAGCGGCGGTTCGCGCGCGACCGCGCACGCCATTGCGCTCGCAGTTCCGTTCCTCCGACGGGGGCCCCGACGGACATTGTTATTTTTTCCGCCCACACCTCATTTCAACAACTAGCGGGAAAAATACGCCTCCGACCATCCGGCCCCAGACCCTCGCACTGGCATCTGCTGGCATGAGAGAAGCCAGGAAGACTGACGGGGCAGAAAAGACGGCCGAGGCAGGAGAAGCGCCGCGGCGACCCCCAGGGGCGGATCTGGACCATCGAGGCCGCCCGCGGCCTGGGCTACATCACTTACGAAGAGCTCACTTGCGCATCTTCCTCACGTGCCCCTCGAGCGACTGCCGGACCGTCGAAGTCTAAAAAGTCTGGGGGGGGGGGGGGGGGCGCCAAGAAAATCATTGCCCCCGGCGCTGTAGTGCGCATATAGCAAATACAATCGGGACGCCCTCGCGAACGCCCTGGCGCGGGCGCCCCCTTTCGGCGCCAGGCCGCGCCCGCCGCGCCCTGCGACCCTGGCGTGGATGATAGCTGCGCTCAAGAGCCACCGCATATGTGCCGTCGTCGTTCTCCTTTCCATCCGGCTACGTACCCCCCCCCCCGACGCCCCCCCGACGCCGCGCCCCCCCCCCCGTCCGCCGCCCCCAGTTGTCGCGGGGCCCCCCGCAGCAGAAAAACTCGCAGAATAAATCCCCATGTGACACATGGGGTCCATCTTCGAGCCCTTCCACGACAGAAGGGGGGGGGGGGCAACAAACGCATTGTCACTCGATTCTGGCTCGCGGGTTAGAATCGCGGACAACGGGCGGGCGTCGGCTGGTAGACGGGAAAGGCCCGCTGAAGCCGCGGGAAACAATCGAGAAACTCCAGCGCGCTACGCGTCGGAGCAGAAGAACTAAGCGGGGCCCTGGGCCCGCCCGCGCGATGGGGACGCCCAAGACAACGAACGGTCTGAGGGCAAATATGAACCGCCAAGCGGCAGCGCCCACCGGTCCCGCGACGACCCCGAATCATCTGGTCGGGTCATGGGTCCGCAACGCGCGCGCCGCGGCGTCGCCCGACTGCAATGCTCGCATTGCCGGCTTCGTAGCTGATGGCCACAAGGACGGAGCCAGATTCTTCCCGACAGTGGGCGGCGGGCTGACGGCTACGCGCTATGCAGAACACCTGCCAGGCACGCGACTTGCCGGGCCGAAGCAGGCAAGCCACGAGGTCGTAGGGGGCGCCCACAGCCTTGACCATCCCAGCTTGTTCACGGCAGTTGGATCGGCCATTCCCCGAAGAGTAGGGATGACGATATTATCGAGGGGGGCAGAGGTCAAAGGCCAGATGGTGAGGGGGGGCTACGGTCGGCAGCTCGCTCAGCTGCGCCAGCTGGCAGGCCGTCGGAACTCGCTAGATCGAATCAGCATGTAAGCCGTTAAAAGGAAAACTGCAGCGGAGAACTGGAAACGCTGCGCCGAAGAAGGTCGAGAAGACGAAGCAGCCTTTCAGGTGTATCAGCGCGAGAAGTTCATCGATATAGCCCCGATGATGGCTGAGTTTGGTGAACTGGGCTGCGGCTAGCAGGAGCAAGAAGGAGTTCGGCCTCGCCCTCGGGGTTGCGGAAATGGACTCCGAGAGATGGAGACGCTGAAAGAAGCGCATCGCGAGGCGGCGACGCTCGCGAAGCTCCTGGAGGTGCAGACGCGCGCGGCCGAGCTGACCATCAAGCAGGCCAGCAAGATGGATAACGCACGCGGAGTGCGGAAGAAAAACAAAAACACGACTGACACCGGGTGGGACGGTCAGCCATGACTGCGTAGGGCCCCCCCGGAGAGCGCGTGTCACCCCAGAAGAGTTGCAAGGCCTCCTGAAAGCGAGCGTTCGACCACGCGCTGTCCGTCGCAGGCCTGGCTTGCGCACGCGTTTGCAGATCCTCGAATTCCGATCTTCGGAGCTGGAACGCAGATCGAAGCAGGGCTGTCCGGGTGGAGGCCGCTGCCTGCTTCGGACGCTGCAGTGATGGAGTGCGCGGGGCTCGAGACTTTAGCAGGTAGATGGGCCAGCTGCAGGCTCGGTGCTCGGCGATAGCACCTGAAGCCTGCGGCGCCCGGCTGACTCAGACAGGACGGATGGCCGTTTGCCTCCGTCAACTGCCCTTTTGCGCGCGATCTTCGTCGCCCGCCGCTGTGAAACAAAAAACGGCAGCTAAGGATGAGGAGAGGCTTGCACGGTTTAGGCAATGTTGGAAAGCGATTCTTTTGATTTCCCCCCGATGGGGCCGGCTGGAACACCTGCGGTCCAGGGATCGTGAGTCGTATGGCTATTTTGTGTTTGGGTGCGTTTATGCGTCTATGTACACACACATACACGCATTGCGTGTTAGGCACGTGCGTGTCTAAGAAGAACGCAACGACTCGAATTGTATAGCACGCGTGTCTAGCCGTCCAGCCATCAAGGCCGGGTAGCAGACTCGGCGAGCCCAGGTGCGGAGATACAAAAAAAACATCCTCCTACGTCAGGGAACCTCGAAGAGATCCCAAGGTCCTCGAGGCAGGGGTAATCCTGAGTAGTGAGAAAACTCGGTGTGATGTCAGACCGCTTGGGAGCATCTGCTGCATCGTAGAGCACTTAGGTGTTCTAGTAGGTGACTGTTATTTATTAAGCGCGCTGCAAGAAGGGGACGGATGAGGAGGGAGGAGGAGGGAGGAGGAGGAGGAGGAGGAGGAGGAGGAGGAGGAGGAGGATCATGCCTCCTGTGCCGCCCACCTCCGGCGGCCGCGAGCGGGCGGGCGGGCCTGCCCTCGCGCCCGGGTGCCCCGGGCCGCCGTCCCCGTCGGCCGCCCGTCGAGGCGGAGGCCTGCTCCTGCCGGGCCCCGCCGCGGGGGGCGGAGGATGTCGGAAGAGGGCCCAACAGTCTTCGAGCACCACGGGGTGTTCAAACCACCAGGTTCGAGGTGGTTCGAGCCCTACAGTTCGAGGTGGTTCGAGGGCGCCGAAGGGTGGCTAGAGTCGAGCCTGGAGTCAGAGAAACTGAACGTTCGACAGTCTGCGCGGATTTCTGGGATCTGCGCCAGGGGCGGCGCCGGAGGCACCGCCAGGGGGTCCAGTGCCGATTCAAGGAATCTGCGCGGAGCTCCGAAAGCTTGTGTTCTGCAGTTTGGGCTCCTCGATTCTGGGCCTCCTGGAGGCTCCTCGTCGCCAGTGCGGGATCCCTAAAAAACGAGTCAAGAGTCGGGCATTGCCTAACGGGGGCGATGATTGGGGGGATGGGGGGGAGAAAGGCTCTGATTGTTTCTCCACCCAAAACAACAGCCATCCACTTCGAACTAGATTCGGAGCAGCCCGGCAGACGAGGGAACGAGGGAGAAGAGGAAGACGAGGCCGAGGGGGAGGCAAGGACGACCCCAAAGCGCAGAGACGACAACGCGGGAGGAAGGAGGACAAGAAAGGGAGGCGACAGGCCGAAGAGACAGGACGAAAAGAGGCAGACGACACGAGAAATCACCGCCCTCAACGTCGCCGCCAGGACGACCAGCAACTGCAGCGCCTGGATGATTCCCTCGCTCTTCGTGCACCTTCCGTGCTCCCTTTGGGCCCAAGCGGGTCCCTCGAGGGCACCTCTGGGGCACGAAAGATGCACCCGTCTTCACCCCCCCTCATGTGTTGCCCCCCCCATTACATTACGCAACGCCCGAAAATGGAACTCCCGGGAGGGGTTTGGGGACCGAGGTCAGACGTACGTGGGCCGAGCGGGAGAGGCCGCTGCTGGGGCCCGCAAAGAGCGGGGGCGCCCTGGGCTTCCTGGGGTCACCGCCCTGGGGGCATGGATCGCGTTTTCTCCCCATGTCCTAAGATGGGGTTCTTGCTATTACTTAAACGCCTCCGGACCTCTTTCCTCCCTCTCCTCCTGCTCCTCCTCTTACCAATGGGTCCACCCTACGGGTGAGAAGGAGGTTGTGGGGGGGATTCCAACCCGAACCCCCCCCCGGGCGCCGAGGGGGGGGGTCCCCCCCCCCCGTTTGGCGCTGGCGCCGGCGCTGGCGGCGGCCAGCAGCGCCGGCGCTGGCGCTGGCGACGGCGGGAACACCGACGATGACCACCACTACCACCACCACCACCACTACCACCACCACCACCGCCTCAACCCACCACCGCCACCACCACCACCACCAACCCACCACACAACCACCACCACAGCCACCACCACCACAACCACCACCACCACCACAACTCACCATCACCACCACAAAAGCACACCACGACTACCACCACCCCCACTACAATCGACCACGCCACCGCCACCACCGCCACAACCACCACCACTACCAGCAGCACAACCCACCACCACCACCACCACCACAAACCACCACACCACAACCACCACCGCCCACCACCGCCCCCACCACCACCACAGCACCACATCCTCAAACCACCACCACACAACCCACCACCACCACAAACCACAAGTCACCACACCACCACCACACCACCACCACCACACCACTACACCACCACCCACCACCACACCACCACCACCACCACCAACAACCCACCACACACCACCACCACCACCACCACAAACTGCCACTGCACCACCACCACCACCACAACCCACACCACACCACCACCACCACCACCACCACCACCACCACCACCACCACGTCCCTCGTCGACGCTCCCCGCCGCCGCCGCCCGCCGCCGCAGGCGCCGGCGCCGGCCCAGAAAAAGAAATCGTCGTCCCCGCCGCCCCCGCCGCCAGCCGAGGAGAAGGAGAGAGGAGAAATGGGAACGGGGGGGTTCGAACTCCCCCCCCTCCGTCACGGGAGGGGGGGGGGGTTCGAACACCCCGCCCCCCCCCCATCCAAGGGGGGGGGGTCCGGTTCCAACCCCCTACCCCCCTCAGGGCGACCACAGAACGCGCTCTTTCACCTATCTATCAATATATTTCTGTATCCAACATCGGGACACCATCGGGGCAACCATCGGGACAACCATCGGGACAACATCGAGACACCCATCGGGACAACCATCGGGACGACCATCAGTACAACCATCGGGACAACCATCGGGACAACCACGAGACAACCATCGGGACAACCATCGGGACAACCAAGGTCCGCGCCCGGTCGGGGGAGGGCGGGGGGGACGGGCGACCTTTTGGGCTCCATGTGGCCTCTACCAGTGCAGGAACTCGCGCAGCTTCGCCTCGCCCGCACGCACGCCCCGAACCGAAACCGAAACCGGTGTCCCGGATGGGGTCACTTCCGCTCACACCCCCCAACCTTCGACTCTTCATTCTCGTATCACTCAAATACTCCTATGCGAATCACTCGCGCCCATCACGGACTCCATCACAGACCTGACAGACCCACTCTTCTCCACGGGTCCCGTCACAGACTCATTCTTCCTTATGCAGACTCAGCCGCATTACGTCTTCATTCAAACTCATGCCCCCTCAGACCCATCCAGGGAATTAGCCTCGAACGCACTTTGCCTCCTACGTATCAGACTCTATCACCCCCGCACACTTTCTTCATCCAGACTAAGTCAGGTATTTCTGGTGGTCCGCTACCCACCGCGAGATAGCAGGCGTGGCGTTTGGGCGCCCTAAGGGGAGTCGCCAGGGGTGAACACACCCGAACAGTCGCACCCAGATTGCGGGGATTTCTCAAGCGATTTGCCTGTTTAGGCCTCTCAAACTTTTCTCTTTTGGTGCCCCAGTGCCCACAGCGATATTGCAGGCGTTGCACTTGGGCACACCAAGGGGAGCCGCCATGGGTTACCCTACTCAGACGTCGCGACCAGATTGTACGTTCTGCGTGTTGCTATCCCCCCAGATTTCTCTTTTGGTGCTCCAATGCCCATCGCGAAATCGAAGGTGTGGTTTTTGGGCAGTCCAAAGGAGATTCCCCAAGGGGGAGCACTCCAACAGTCGCGCCCGAAGTGTGGGGATGTCTCCAGCGGTTTGCCTGGCTTTGCCCGCTAAGTTTTTTTCCTGGCATCCCAATCGCATAAGATGGATATACGGTTCTTGCTAAGACCACGTCAGTTCCAATTCCTCCTCCTTCCTCCTCTTGCTCATCAACCTCACTGGTACCAGACCCACTCCCACGAATAACCCGATATTGTTGAAATCATTCAAATTCAGATCCACCAGTGTTCATTTTGACTCAGCAACGCTACCTCCTCACTCAAAATGCACCCATGCTCATACTCATTCACTGTTGTCCGTCGGTGGCTAGGCAAAGTCAATGCGAAGGCTGTAGGGCGCTGGTAGGTGCACGAAAGGCGAATACTCACTCACATACTCCGGCTTTTTGCTCATACTCCAACTCAACCGGACTCACACAGACTCACACGCAGACCCGATTATACTCAAAACCGTTCGTATTCACAAAATTCCCCCCTCTTCCTGCGAAGCCCGAAGTTCCACCCCCCTCCGAAAATCCCCCCCCTGCTGGATCCCCCCCCTCTCCCCTCCCCCCTGCAACTCCTCCGCCCCCGCATCGAGCCCCCCCCCACCGGAAAAGCGGGGGGTGTCACTACCGGTTCGAACCCCCCCCAGAATGCCAGACGGGGGGTACTACCAGTTCGAACCCCTTCGACTACACGTAGGAGTGACCCGAGGCTAGAATGACCCTTGGTGCGCGGTTTCAGGGGCGCCCGTGGGGGGCCCAACGCCATCGCGCAAGCCAGCGCTGCCGCGCCGCATCAACGATCGGCGGGGCGCCACTCTAAATTGTTTTGCGCCAGCGGGCAACCGCGGAATTCGGCCGATTGAATTGGAGCGCCCCGAAGGGCACACCGAAGGGCCTGCGAAAGCAGACGCTGGTGGGGGCCACCGCGATGAGGTCTGGCACTGCCGGGCTGCATCGCGATAACGTCTGACCAAGCCCGGCGCCTTGGCCAACACTGGCCCCATCCGAGAGCCCGGAATATGTTTGAATATCTTTGGATAACTTATAACAGTACAGATCCCCATTGGTTCGAAAAGCATATTCAAAGAATATTCAAACATATTCAGAGATATCCAAATCGACTCAAGCCAGACGTTTTGGGGTTTGGGCTGGGATTCCGGACTGGTCCTTGGCCAGAAAACGCGCCGTCTGATCGACAGGCTCCCCCTCGGGTAACGAATGCAAACTGTAGGGTTCGACGCTCATGCGTTGCTGTCGATTGCAAGGGGTGGGCCCAAACCTGGCGCGCTCAGGTGTTAACGTAATCGCGCGATGCGGGTGCTGACGCGAGGCCGAGCTCATTCCACAAGAAAGATCACCCGATCCCCTTTGGGCCAGCACCAAAGGTCACTCCGGCGAAGGGTCACTCTTACCCCCTCCCCCCCCCTCCAGAAAACCGGGGGGGGTCACTATCTGTTCGAACCCCCCTCTCCCCCCCCCGCTCATCGCCAGCAAACGATTCCCGGGTCCCTACGTACCACCGTCCGCACCACATCCGCCACTGCTGTCCCCAACACCACTGTCCTCACAACCACTGTTCCCACCACCGTCCCCACTGTCCCCAACAGTGCCCCCACCACTTTCGCAGTCCCCAGTGTCCCCGCCACTGATCCCACCACGGTTCCACTCTCCCCACTTTCTCCACGGCCCCAACCAGTGTCCCACTGTCCCCACTGTCCCACTGTCCCCGCCACTGTCCCACTGAGCTGTCCCACTCTTCCCACCACCGTCCCCACCGTCCCAACTGTACCTCTGTCCCATTGTCCCACCGCCGTCCTCGCCACCGCCCTCACCACTGTCCCCACCACCACTGTAACCACCACTGTCCCACTGTTTCCACCACTGTCCTACTGTCCCCGCACCACTGTCCCCACCACCGCCGTCCCCACCACTGTCCAACTGTCCC